TCCTCTTCCTAGCGCAGTATATTGTGTGCCCTATCAGGCGGCAACTGAGAACGATGGCGCGGCCAAGTACCTCACACACCTCTTGGGTGATGCCAAACTGCTGGCCCCACCGAGACGAGGACCGGCGCCGCGGGTCGACGCACCCTTTGAACAAAAGGGCCCGGGCATTGCTTGCAGAGCTCCAGAGAGCTTGAGGCAAATCGGTATAATCGGGTCAAAGATTTGCAGGTTGGCTGCAGGAAAGGTTTCCGGCAGTGAAGGAGCTTGTCAGCGACTTCCAAGAGGTCGTTTGTGTCAGCTAACCTGCTTGGCAGGCTTCGCAGTGGCTCCTCACAGGTACGGTCGCCTGTGATGCAAGGACCAGTGGATGAGTCACACTTGTGCGCGTGGGTGGATTGTGCCCGGCGAACTGGCCTTGAGGCTGCCCGAAGGAGCAAACGCCCCCCCATCAATGCTTTCGTGAGAGTCAATCTGGAGGGATCGCATGCGCTGGGGCAGCGCCAATTTGCGCGTTTCAGCCAAACGCACCTCCTGTGCATTTCCTGGATGCCATACGGCAGGCCCTCTCGGCTGCTGTGGCCAACCAAGCTTTGGAGCACTTCTGGTCGATTTTCAACCTAGTGTGGCCAGATGTCACGGCACGTGTTGTTGTTTCCTTCCGTAGGGTCCTTTAGAAGGGCTCCGCGAAGATGCTCAGCTGGTTGTACACAGCAGCTCCTCGGAGGCTGACGCAGCCTCGCCATCGGTTCTAGCCTCTGCTTGCCCTGAGGCTGAAGAGGTGGAACAGCCTTTTCGGAGCTACACTCGACGAACTTGGCGGCCTTGCGAAGTGGATGTGTGCATCCCCTTTCGGCGGCACACTGGGCCGCCCTCAAGGCCTTGCACGCGCCAAGCGCCCCACCAAGCAACAACTCAACAGCCCCTAGTTCAAAAGTTATTGCCATCGGGATCCCTCAGTGCCTGAGCCCTCTGCACTCAAAAGGGGTCTCGTCCTTTCCCTACTGACGTAAAGCAAATGTCCAATACTGGCAAACCAACACGGCTGCTAATACGCTGTGGGGTGCGGCCAAGGCCAAAGTGGCGCAGCTGGCTGGCGTGCCAATCCCCAAGGGTGTCCCCCCATGGGGGGCGGATGAGGAAGAGGAACAACCGGGAGCTGGGACACAAACAATTCATGGACCCCCCCGACGAACCCTACTGGGAGCCAAATACCAGTCTGCAATCTGGTTGTCGCTGGAGAAGCAGGGTCTTCTAAACAAGGGTGGCGCTGGAAGAGCGGCTGGGATGGCGCCTGGCAGTGATCAAAAAGGGATGGGTGCCGGCCGTGAGTCTCAAGTGCCCGTGGCGGCAAGCACACCACCTTTCTACTCTACACTTCGCTGTTACAGTTCCCTCTACTCTTGCATAAGCACTTCTGTCAATCATGGCTTGGCTGTGCTTGGTGCTTGGAGTAATATGTATTTCTTCGATGTTACTGCTCAGGGCTGCCCCCACTGGCTGATCACCATGGGGTGCCCTGGGCTGACAATTGCTCGCTAGGTTGAAGTCCCCACTGGCTGACCACCATGGGGCACGTTCGGCCAACCCTTCCTGCTGGAAGGGTGGGCCCTTGTCCTTGTCTAGTGACTTCGCTTGTGATCTTGCGATGGATGAACGACCGTTGAGGGTGTGGCAATCTGGCATTGCGTGGCTTGGGGGCATCGTTGACCGTGGTTCGTGGATATCTCCGTTTGACGGGGGGCAAATGTCCACCAGATGGTGGTTTTGGTTTCCTGGCATACGTTCGCATCTTACGATCTCCCTGCACAGCCCAGTGCGGCATGGATGTGCTCTTGGATGACTTCGACGGCGTTGAGTACTGAACGCGTGGATGCGGACAGGAAGAAGCCTGCCAATTAAGAGTTCAGCATATGCAAGGCGATGAGCTTGGGAATCGGGTAGAAGCTCATGAGAGATCAGGACCGTCAGGCCACTGGACCGAAAGTCACCGGAGCTACTGGAGGTGTGACACGGAAGAACTATTGGAACAGCCGGGAGCTGGGAAACAAACAACTAAGGGACCCCCCTCTGCGAACCCTACTGGAGTCCAACACCGGTCTGCAATTCGGTTGTCGCCGGCGAAGCAGGGTCTTCCAGACAAGGGTGGCGCCGGAGGAGTGGCTGGGATGGCGCTTGGCAGTGATCAAGTGGCGTGGGTTCCTGTCGTGATCGAGTGCCATGTCGCACTCGCTGTGGTAAGCAAACCACCCTTTTACCCCGCGCTTCTCTGCTGCAGTTCCCTCCGCTTTCGCGCAAGTACTTCCGGCGAACATGGCTTGGTTGTGCTTGGAGCTTGGAGCTATCATGTGGTTCGTCGATGTCATTGCTCAGGGCGGGCCCCACTGGCTGATCACCATGGGGTGCCCTGGGCTGGTCCTGCACATCGCTGGCAATTGCTCGCTTGCCTGAAGTCCCCACTGGCTGACCACCATGGGGCACGTTCGGCTAACCCTTCCTGCTGGAAGGGTTGGCCCCTATCTTGTGGCTTCTCTTGTGATCTTGCGATGGACGACCGATTGTTGAAGGAGTGGCAATACGGCTATGGGTTTGGTGGCGCCGTTGATTGAGGTTCGTGGATTTCTCTGCGGACTGACGTTAAGCAAATGTCTACAAGATGGTGGTTTTGACTTTCTGGCATACATTCGCATTTTGTGATTTCCCTGCACAGCTTGGTGCGGCATGGAAGTGCTCTTGGATATCGACGACGTTGAGTACTGAGCGTGCGGGGAACCTAGAAGTTTGGTCGCTTCCGGTTTTTTTTGGTTGTTGCTGCTTGTTCGCTGGGTTGTTTGGTTGGTTTGGTCGGTGGTGGTGTTCGTCCTTCTTGTTCTTCCTGCTTCTCACGGCGATCCGTTTCACACCTAGTTGCGAGACCCACAAGAACGGCCTACTGTGCTACTGATGTAGTAAAGAGGCGCCCGCTTAAAAAAAAATTCTCAGGGGTTTTCGGGGTTTCTCAAACCAAATTTAAGTAAATTGAATTGTGTGTCCCTTTTCGCACTACAATCCTATCAATACAGAAAAAAGCCAAAGATGTTTCCTCACACCACTTTCAAAGAACACAAAATTGAACCAAAAGGACACCACTTGGCAGAGAACCAAAAAAAATGAACCAGAAGGGTTTCCTTAACAGCAGAGAACACAAATTTGAATCAAAGGACGGTCTTAACAACTTTGGCAGAAAACAAAAAAAAAGACCAAAAGGGGGTTTCCTTGACACAAAAATTTGAACCTAAGGGGTTTCTTTGACACCACTCGGGAGAGTGCAGAGGGTTAGGGTGTCTCAACAGAGAACAGAAAATGAACCGAAAGGGGTTTTGTTGACACAAATTTGAAGCAAAAGGGTGTTTTGACACCACTTTGGCAGAGAACCAAAAAAAGAACTACAAATTGCCATGCGAATGCCATGAATTTGAATATTCATTCCATTTGCACTCCACGGGTTGACCCGGAGGGCAGAGCCGCGAGCAGTAGGTTTAGGGTTTAACTGTCTGGGTCCATCGTTCTCAATTGATTCACAGCAAATGGAAGCCCTGGACCCCCTTCCGGCGGGGCTGCTGAAGATCACGAGCTTCATCACCAGCATCATTCCTTCTCTTGCATCCACGATTTTGCAAGGTTTTCCACATCTCATAGTTTCCTTTCAACCTATCTTCCTTATCTTGCAAGATTTTTCCACATTCCATAGCTTCCTTTCAACCTATCTTCGGCTTTGGGCGAATAGGGCTTTTCCAATATTTTTGGACAATTTCAGAGGGTCTCTGCGAGGTTTTCCAATTTGTTGCCGAATTTTAGCAAACAGAAGAAAAGCATGAACATGGAAAGTACAGTCTTGAAATAGGGTTTCAGGGGGGTTTAGGAACTGTCTGAAAGTGGCAAATGGATCTGAAAGAAAGAAACGTGGTAGAAATGTCGGAAATTCCCAGAGCAAAAAACAAGCAAACAGAAGAAAAACATGAAGATTGAAAATCCAGTCTTGAAATAGGGTTGCAAGGGGGTTTAGGATCCGTCTGAAAGTGACACATGGATGTGAAAGAAGGAAACGTGCTAAAAATGTTGTGAATTCCCACAACAAACCAAGCAAACAGAAGAAAAGCGAGAAGATCGAAAATACAGTCTTGAAATAGGGTTTCAATGGGATTTAGGAACTGTTTGAAAGTGACAAATGGATGTTAAAGAACGAAACGTGCTAAACATGTTGCAAAACCGAACAGCGAAACAAGCAAACAGAAGAAAAGCATGAACATGGAAAGTACAGTCTTGAAATAGGGTTTCAAGGGGATTTAGGAACTGTCTGAAAGTGGCAAATGGATCTGAAAGAAAGAAACGTGGTAAAAATGTCGGAAATTCCCAGAGCAAAACAAGCAACCAGTAGAAATGCATGAAGATTGAAAATCCAGTCTTGAAATAGGATTTCAAGGGGGTTTAGGATTCGTCTGAAAGTGACACATGGATGTGAAAGAAGGAAACGTGCTAAAAATGTTGTGAATTCCCACAACAAACCAAGCAAACAGAAGAAAAGCGTGAAGATCGAAAATACAGTTTTGAAATAGGGTTTCAATGGGATTTAGGAACTGTTTGAAAGTGACAAATGGATGTTAAAGAACGAAACGTGGTAAAAATGTCGGAAATTCGAACAGCGAAACAAGCAAACAGAAGAAAAGCATGAACATGGAAAGTACAGTCTTGAAATAGGGTTTCAAGGGGGTTTAGGAACTGTCTGAAAGTGGCAAATGGATCTGAAAGAAAGAAACGTGGTAAAAATGTCGGAAAGTCCCAGAGCAAAAAACAAGCAAGCAGAAGAAAAGCATGAAGATTGAAAATCCAGTCTTGAAATAGGGTTTCAAGGGGGTTTAGGATCCGTCTGAAAGTGACACATGGATATGAAAGAATGAAACGTGCTAGGACCGCCTGGCAGAAGCACATCAAAGGAGTCATTGTAGCCGAAGCGTTCTATCGGTATGTTGCCGGAGCAATTGGCCGTGGTGACAAGTTCGGCCTTGGTCGCTTTACAGTTCTTGATTTGGTGTGGCTTGGCGCGCTGCCCCGGGTACTGCAAAGACGGTCACAAATGGAATGCCATTGTGCAAGGCAGCATGAAGACGCAAGAAGGAAAGGGAAAGCGGAAACGCAAATCATCTGAGGAGCCTCCAGAAAGGCAGCATCCTCTTTTCCGATGTTACTACCGCCCAGCATCCCCCAAGAAGCGCGGACGCCCGAGCAAGGCCAGCCTAGCGGAGCTCGAGGGGAAAGAGCCCGTATACAAAGGTGTGCAATGCCGGCAAGCTGCTTCATGGCGCAAGTTCTGTCCGGTGGCAGATTTGCTACCAGATAGCATTGGGCCCAAGAAGCTGGTGGCACTTTTATACTGGTTCAGCCAGTTGACCGGCATTCAAAAGGCTGCGGCCTACACTGGTTGCGACAGGGGGACCGTAGGCAAACTCTGCAATATTATCCGGTCCTACCTCGTCGCTTTTCTGCTGAAGCAGAACACCCAGCTGTTGGGCAGCCATCGGCACATTTGTTGTGTCGATGAATGCTTCCTGGCCAAGCGTAAGCCATCGAAGGTACTCCGCGGCCGCAGCACACGCCCCATGCGTATGTTGGTGGTCGGCGTCGTGGAACTGGACCGTGATAGTCGGAAAGAAACCGGTCGTGTGGTTCTACGGTTGGTGCGGAACAGATCGAGCCGGACATTGACGAATTTGGTCTGCAGCGTTGTCCGGCCTGGCACGACCGTCGTGACCGACGAATGGCGTGGTTATAACGGGCTCACCAAGGCAGGGACAACATGAGAAGGTCAACCACAGCCTGAACCAGAAGGTCAATGCAGAAGGTTTGGGAACCAATCCTGTGGAAGGCCTATTCTCCAGGGTTCGGCGATTCTTGCGCCAGAACTACGTCCGGATGCCTTCGCGCAAAAACTATGGGTTGCTGCTTGCAGAGTATTGCTGGCGACGCAGTGTCTTGGGGGAGCAGACTTTGCCCCCCAGACAATGGCCGAAAGCAGCTTTCTGGCGTTTGTTGGCGACCATGAAGGAGGTAGTTCCGCGAGATTACCTGGTCAGGCGAGCTTCCTACAAGCAAGAGGCAGGATGGCCAGATTTAAGGGTTTGCCATTGCTCAAGCATTCGCAGAAGCGTGAGAGCGGTTTCAGAGACACTAAGACATGGTCGGGTTTGGGCGCATCTAAGAGCCCCGGGCCTCCTTCAAGGAAATAAAGGCCTCTTTCAGCTTTCTAAATCTGACCTTCAAATAAAGAAGGGCCTCTACGGGCCCTGACACGCCGAAGGCCCGAAAAGGGCCGAGGCTACCCCGAATTCCAGCTGAAACCCTAGCACCGCAACTCAGAAACATAGAAGCAAGCATCTGTGCACAAGAAAATAAATTCAATAAACCCTAAACCCTAATAGAGTATAGTTTGGGTGGCCGGAGTGGGTGGACGAGCAACGCCCTCCCCTGACACACCCTAAACCCTAAACCCTAAACCCTAAACCCTAAACCCGAAACCCTAAACCCTAAATTCGAAACCTTCACAGGACGGATCCTTGCTGACGGAGGAGCCCTGGGAGGGCAAAGAGTCCGACCGGATTGATTTCGGAAAATTCATCCCGAAAGATGTCAGGCGGACCGGGCACGACACCGCAATGACACCAGAAGACGTTTACTGTGCGCCATATTACCGCAATAACGTCGAATGGTCTTTGGTGGAAGAGGACTCGGCCCAAGCTGGGTTTGCCCGGGTCTTGCCCATGGAGGATCCAGACCCCATTTTCGATGAAGGCGACGAGCCCACTGGCCAACCCAGGCGACCCCCATCAAGGCGAGGCAGGGGGCGGGGCGGGATGCGTGGAGGCCGGCGATGGTCCCGACCACTCAGGGGGGAAGTATCTGGCCGATGGTCTCGACCACTGCGGGGGGAAGCATCTGGCAAGAGTGGGCCAGTGCAGCCTTTAGATCTGGATTTGGAATCCGAGAGGGAGGGTGACCTGCAAGGTGAAGCGGCAGTTCTTTTGGATCTTGACTTCCCGGATCCCTTCGCCGATTTCTTTGAGCCCGAGAAGTCAGACAAGCACCAAGCCGGAAATGTGGATTTCGAGGTCCTTCTCATCACCGGGGATGGTGCTTGCCTTTACCGCGCCCTTCTCCTCGGCACACAGATCCGTTCTGGAGTAGCACGTGGCAGGCTTCAGGCTTGGTGTTAACAAATTTCGAATTGAATAAGGAAGCATACCCTCTTACTCACTATAAAGCGTGACAGGACCCTACGCACGCCGTGCAAGAGCTCAGGGAGGATGTTTGTGACGCTATGCGCAGCTGGA